TGCCCTTTGGTAGTGACATGTTTGACTTGTAAACGTTTAATTTAAAACCACATAAAGAGTACTTGTTTTTACCATAACCTTTGCATTTACATACAATGAATTCTTCTACTATAGGTCCAAGCAATTTAGTTTCTTCTATATAATTTTAAACTTTAGAACCCAGTGCTTCTCCAACTGGACTACAAGTTTCAGCCATCAACCTTAAAGAGCTAGAGGTGATATGGGAGGTATGAACTGTTTTAGGAATAGCTGTTTGGTCACTTTAATAGTGAAATGCAGTTGGATGAAAAGCCTCGTCCAGAGCACAAAATGCATAACTGTTACTACTAATTTTTGTATTACATACAGGTATAACCGCACCGTGTATGTGATATGAAGCTGATGAAACACTTACAACTTTGATAAGATTTAATTTTACCTATTTGTTTTCGACGAGATATGTCAAATAAAAACTCCTCCACACCACCAACTATTTGTGAATGTTTCTTTACGTACCTCAACAATTGACTAAATAAAATAGGTCTTGTGTAAAAAAATATATAAAAATTGTACCAATTTGTTTTGTTTGCTTAGTTGAAAGTAAGAGCTGTTGGTTTTATGAAATGGAGATTTTATTTTATTTTACAGAAGGAAGCAAATATAGAAATGTTTTTTAATCAAGAGAGTCTTGTTTAGCAGGATGATTCAGGAGCATCCTTATTAATGCGAAAAACTGTAGGCAAAATATAATAACATATTATAGTTTTGTCTACTAGTGTGAAAGTAACTTCTTTCATGTGGTTGTGCTGTATGCAACATATATTTGTACCTTTATGTTTCAGCACCTCCCATCAGAATCAGCAGACTGCAGGAGTGGAGTGACCCATTATATGATCTACTATGCTCCCTCTGGATCAACTTCTTCAAGCTCTATCCTGGTTTTTCGTGACACTAGCTCATACACGATAAGAGGGTTAGATACCTATTTGGACTATATCATTCAATTGACTGCATCAAATAAAGACGCGGAGGGTGATAGAAGCAGTGAGACTATCGGCAAAACACGTGAAGAAGGTTAGTGTTAATCTTGGGATGCATTTTTCCATGAGGGTGAGGGACTTGTTGTTTGCTTGTTAAGTGACACAGTTAATATTCTTGTAGATATTTGTGTCACAACCTTCATCCAACATTTTTTTTTTTTTTTGGGGGGGGGGGGGTTGAAACTACTTTTGGTTCATTTCACAATATGCTTTCAGTTTCATCTTTACATTTAATTGATCTTGATAGAGTTGGAATCATTCATGGTGCTATCCTGCAGTTTTTTTAGAATCAGACCTTGGTATAACTTCTGTGTTAAACTCAATATCTGGCTATGCTTAAATCCAGCGTCTTGTTGAATGTTAAATTACGGACCAGTACATTAGATATTAGGAGATCGAGAACAATGAAATCTGTCAATATATCTTTAGCAGTGTTTGTATACTAAATTACTTTGTCTGCACAATATAAATCATAAACATGACTCGTTGAGGCATTAGATTACTATTTCCTTATGTCATTACATTTTCATTGTGATTCAAACCCCAATGTAATTTTATACAATTAGATTTGTGTTCTGGAATTAGAAATTGTACTAACCTGTTAAGACGAGAGTAACAAAAGTAATTGATATTCTGGAATATCAATACATTAGTCTACAATATTTCAGCGTGACATTGTTATAAACAATTTTATTCTAATCAGTCGCGCCTGCTCCTATCAACGTGGCTATACCGCAGAGTACTACAAGCTCCTTCACTGTATCCTGGTCTACCCCTCTACCATCTAACACCAATGGTAACATCCAGAAGTATCTCATCCGCTTCAAGCAAACTGATCCCGTCGTTGATGGTGACTATAAGTCAGAGGAAGTATTGAACGGTGCGTTTGAAGGAGAGCATACTGTGGTAGACCTGCCCCGTGAAATCAACTATACAGTTCAGGTAAGATATCTTGACATCAATCCCTAGGACCCAATGTTTAAGGGAATATTCAATCTCTTCATATTTTAGTCCAAGCTTTCCCCATGTTGAACAGATACTATTATACTTTAATATGAATTCAAAAAGTGATTCTCCTTTTTACTTGTGCCATTTATCTATCAATCAACCCCCAATTACTTTAATAATACTGCATTCTAAGAAATGACATTTGAATGCTTTAATGGCATCTAATAATATAATAAACTTTTGTATGCGGACGCTTATGATGATTTTAGATTGTATTTCCTCGCGGACAAGAATATCTATCTCATGATTAAGTGTAGCCATGACTAACTAGCTTTAAACAATTCTTTTGTGTGTGTGGACGATGTTTGTATTGTCGATATTGCTACAACACCATATTCTTATGTCCATGTTTGTCAGGTCCGAACTGTCAATGGAGCTGGTTCTAGTAAGTGGTCCGAACCCGTGAATGCAAAGACCATCCTCTCAGGTAAGAGCATGAAACAAATGAAACTTGTTCTATCCTGAATATCATACTTGAAAACGTTGTGTAGGTAATGTGGTTTTCCAAAGGATGTAGAAGTAAAGTGCGTACTGCATTTAATTAATTGTTCCTTTATATTCGTATGTTCTATATTGGTCCTGTTCTTTATACGGATGCTTTTATGCGATTTGTTTTCCTTTGTTTTCTTACAACTGCGCCTTGAACATGTAATTTCAAAAGAATAACGCGCCATACAAATCTCATTTATTATTATTATTAAAAAAATAGTAGCTACATGTCAAACTAAAGTCAGTCTGTAACCTTCATAAATATGTACACTGTTGGTCATAATGGTGGAATAATTATTTTTACCCCAATTTATGGAATGATTTTGACAATGATTTATTCCTAATACATCTAGATAATATAGGTTTTCCCGGCCAATTTCGTAAAGGCAGCAATCAATTTCTTTAACGTGCACTCATGTTTGAGCAAATTCTCTCCACTCGTTGCTCCCCTGTTTCATTTTCAAACTTGTTGCATTCAATTTCGTTTCGAGTCACCGAATTTTCTAAACATGCACATTCAAATTAAAGCTTGCTTCAGTCAATTTTGAAATGAATTATCAATAATTCATTGAATAAAAAAAACCTCTATGTGGGCATGGCTGTTACCATAATGCATGGGCCTACAGAGGAATTTGTCCTGTTGGGGACCGGGGGGAAATGCAATGAAAGTAAATATAATCTACAAGGCAACTTTCGACCCATATCAATTTTCTCTGTTGTCTAAAATATTAGAAAAGGAAGTGCAAAGGCAATCGTATAACTATTTATACAAATATAATAAAAAGAAGAAGAAAAAGAATAATCTTTTAAAGTCCACTCCAAATTTTATTAAGTTAAACCGAAAATGGAAATTCTTTTTGCCCAATTGATCGTGAGCCCGGCAGCCACTGAGCAGCGCCAGAACGGCATTGCTCTATCCCTTATTGTTGAACGCTAAACAAGGTAGCAGCAACTCCCGTCTTTTCACGTCTTTTGGTATGACGCGGCCGGGGTTAAAACCCACGACCTCCCGGTTGTGAGGCGGACACTCTACTGACTGAACCAAGTATCATGTCAACTATCAGGTTTCAGACCATTACATTCCACGACAGCGTGTGTCACAGATACAGGGACTGATCAAGGGGGGCACAGGGGGCACGTGCCCCCCCCCCCCCCCTGACCAAAAACAATATTTTAAAATCAGCCCTAAATTCGCCCAAAATATACTGAAAAACAGGGGCGTGTCCCCCCAGCCAAAAAATATGCCAATGGCTGACCAAAAAAGGTGACCTTACTCCCCCCCCCCCCTCCAACGGAGCAAAATCTCAAAATTAAAAATGTCGTGACCAAAACAAAAAGCTAGTAAATGGTGTACAAAACGTACAGTGTATGCAGTATAGTGGTTTGACCAAAGTTCGCGTACGAACACTAAAAGCGCTTAAAGAGGAGATTTTAGGGTCATGAAGTTAAAGGTCAACTGTCATGGGGCTCATTATGTATGCAGAAATAGCTTGTAAACGCATAATCATTAGAACCGACAGATGGATTACTATCAATCTCAGGGTATGTATGTATATCTTGCAGAGCCATGTATACGAAAAATAGCTTGTAATCACGATATTCACGAGAACCTTTTAATGGATTACAAAAAAACTTAAATTTTAAAATTTGCTTCTGTATATGGCGGAGGCATCATGTTCGAATGCGAGGATCTATATATCTATTTTTTTCATTTTTTTTTTTTTTTTTTTTTTTTTTGGGGGGGGGGGGGGGGGGGGGGGGGTTGTGTACATTGACCGTTGGAGAGGGCGTCAGTGTAAAGCAGTTTTTTTAACTATGACTTACCAGGCGCGTGCGCAGGATTTTTTCAAGGGGGGGGGGGGGGGGGGTTTAACATTTATAAATCGGGCCGAAAATTTCGCAACGACTCAGCCAGCCGCTGAATAAGCGGGGGGGGGGGGGGGGGTAAGAGGTCCCTTTTTTTTTTGGGGGGGGGGTCCCAAAAAAAAATCGCAACGACTCAGCCGACCGCTGAATAAGCGGGGGGGGGGGGGGGGGTAAGAGGACACATTTTTTTTTTTTTTTTTGGTCTCGAAATTTGAAAATTTGACATTTTGCTCCGTTGGGGGGGGGGGGGGTAAGGTCAGCTTTTTTTAGATCAACCATGGGAATTTTTTTTTTTTTTTTTTTTTTTTAAATAAATATTAAAAAATTTTAAAAAAAATCCAAAAGGGGGGGGGGGTTTTTAGAAAAATTTAGGGGGGTTTACACACAAAAAATTACCAAAGGGGGGGGGTTTAACCCCCAAACACCCCCCCCCCTGTGTACGCGCCTGTGACTCACCCTGCTCTTTAAAGAAGACATGAATAAATAAATGAATAAACAAAATCAACAAAAACTTGTAAACAGACCAATGACAATCTGGCATACGTCATTACAGCATAATTACATGTGTATGTATTTTTTTTGGTGCTAAAGGTGATGATAATGGTTCCAGGATACCTCTAAGTGCTGTGATAGGGGGTGTGATAGTACCCATCATTCTCATCGCAATACTACTAATTACTTTGGTGATGTATAGAAGGTAAGTTAACTCAACAACAGTAGAACAATTAAAGTGAATTCCATGCCACTATATGGTAACATTTTTACAAATAAAGATATGATTTTATTATAAATGAGACATTAAAAAGGGCAGAATGCTTGACCACTTATAAAGGGAGCCAAAATGATGATGAATAAAGCGATTGCAGGATTATCCTATTATAAAAGCCGTTAAAATATATTCATACAATGAATGGTTTATAATTATTTTGTTTTAAATATTATAAGGGGCATCCACAATCATACGCAGTGAGCTGTTCTGCTCACCAGGGCCCATTCCTACCTCACTTTGTGTAGGTGTGTGTGTGTGTGTGAATTAATGCATTTTTATATTATTGAATTTCACCTCCAGGATCAAACAAAGACGTTTAGAGGCTGAACCAGCCACGTCCCCATCAAACAATACACGTGAGACCTCATCTAAGTATGAGAACCCTGTATTTGATGACTCCAAGCAAGACCCCAATACTTACGAAGACCTTAATATTGACACCAATACATACCAAGATCTCAATACAGATACCCCAAACTACCAGAATCTTACCGACCCCCATACCTATCAAGATCTAAAGAAACCCAACACCGACGTTACCTATCTAGAAGCCATAACATCAGATCCGGGAGACACTTACGAAGAAATATAGAGGCAGCCCTAGCAAGGCAGAGGCTTGGGTATGGTGCCAGCATTGATACATGCTGGATCAACAATAATGAATATGTTATGCAATACACAGAGTTGGTAATATTTATCATGGTGCTCATACTTCCTTACTATGTGCTCATACTACGGTAGTACACTATTTCAATTGATGCAAGAATTATAACGAAACTTAAACAGCTACTTTATACTAGTGTTATAGAAACAGTAAATATCTTGTGTGGTTTTTATATCATTACTAGTTTGTAAATAAAGGGATGAAAGGATAATTTACGTGTAAATTCTTTGAAGTAACTGTCATTTACAATGCAAAAATGTCACTTTTCACTTATTCAATACTTTTGTACAGTAATCTGTTTTATCTGTTTTTCACCTAAAGCGGTGAACCATTTCTCATCGTCAAGTCATAGATATAATTTGTATAGATTGGTTAAAAGTAAAGATTATATAGATTTATTCAAAATCTTGTGCCGAAGGCAAGACAAATATTTAGTTTTAAGCTTGTGTAAGAATATATATTATTAGGTATTAACGTTTATTAGCCGCCAGCACCATTGTCGAAAAATTTAGTATCTAATATCTTTCTCTCTCTTTCTCTCTCTTTCTCTATCTATCTCTCTCTCTCTCTCTTTCTTTCTCTATCTATCTCTCTATCTCTCTTTCTCTCTTTCCTTCTCTCTCTCTCTCTCTCACTCTCTTTTCTCTCTCTCTCTCTTTCTCTCTCTCTTTCTCTCTTTCTCTCTCTTTCTCTCTCTCTCTCTTTCTCTCTCTCTCTTTCTCTCTCGCTCTTTCTCTCTCTCTCTCTCTCTCTCTCTATCATTCTCTCTCTCCCCCCCCCCTCTCTCTCTTTATCTCTGTATATCATGCCGGTCACTCCGTCTATGATGGATGTATAAGTATTTAATAGGTGAACAAAGAGCTTGGAAAATTTCGTTTAAATATTGGATCTAGAAAATTGGGGATTTGCCTCTTTGTTTGCATTTTAATTGCAAAAAGAGCGATATGTATCGTATTTGTAAAAAAAACAGTTGCCGAACTTGTATGTTAACATGTTTTGTTCCTGGGCTGAATTAAAATATATAGATATGTTTAAAGTAACAGATATTGAAAATGAAATGATTTGGTATAATAGCAATAATGATGCAATATTTAAAATGGGAATCAGTTATTGCATTTTCCAAACTGGATAAGAAATGATATTCTTAAAGTTAAAAAAGTCTTAGTAAACAGTATTTGGAATGAAGTTGATTCCATTTGCATTAAATTTTCAAGAAAATGGAATTACTTTCCGCCTTTTAATTGGCAAAGTTAAAAAGTGCGTTTCCGATTTTTTTTTTTTTTTTTTTTTTTTTTTTTGGGGGGGGGGGGGTTGCAGAAGTTACGTTTATATAGGATACAATGTGTAAATAGTTCACCGTCTGTAGTAGAATCCAGTTCAATAGATATGTTAACAGGTAACTCCATTGATGTATCGGGCATGAGAGCCGAACACTATTATGATTTGATGTTAGAAACTAATAAACAGGATCTGCCGTGCATTTATTTTTGATACGATTATTGTGATTTACCTAAAGAGTTTAACTGGAAGACGGTGCTTTATTGTAAATTTTACTTTATAAATGACAACAGAATTAAGCAGTTCAATTTTAAATTTATTCATAGAATATTACCCAGTAAAGACAACTTATGTAAATGGAAGATTAAAAATAATAATCTATGTGATATTTGTAAGATCCCAGATACAACTAACCACCTTTACTTGTTTTGTGGGAAGGTTTCACTTTTTTTAAAGATTGTATCCAAATAAATCGATACTTTGTTCAATTCTAAACAAAATTTGAACGAAAGAAATTCGTTTAAAAGGTCATGAAATAGAATTAAAAAATTTGAATCTTGTCAATCTTATTTTAAAACTATGCTCAGTTTATTATTTATAGAAACTATATTAGATAATGTTTTGGAAGTGAAAAGCACAGGATACATGCTGTATTTGATAACATAATTAAAAGTAGAAATTCACACCTCTCTCAATATGAAATGTAATCAAAAGAAATTCGATACAAACTAAGTAAACTAAAACATTTTATTATTTTAGTTAGTGATTATGTCACATTACTTTCATGTTTTGTACTATAACATATATAATATGTTAGGATTGCATAAATTCTGTATATAAACACTGTTGTAAATAGCTGTTACTTTATGATATGAACAAATAAAGTCCCTCGAAAGAGGATAAATAGAAAAAAATATCCATGTCTCATTCCTTTATCCGCAATCACTAATATCTCCTCTCTTTCTCTCTCTCTCTCTCTCTCTTTCTGTCTTTTCCCCCTATTTCTCTCTCACCTTCTCTCTCCCTTATCTCTTTCTCTCTCACTCAATACCCCTCTCTCTCTCTCCCTCTCTTTCTCTCTTATTTCTCTCTCTCTCTCTCTCCCTCTCTCTCTCTCTCTGAAGTCCTAAGCTCCGCCATGAAAGTATGGAGTTGAGAGGATGTTTGCGCCGAGGGGTGTGGCGGGTTTTTCATTACATTGCTACCTACTGGAGCAGGTTTTGGAGTGTGAGTCGGGAACATTCTGGAGAGGCAGTGATGGTGGTGTGGAAAAAAAGAATGGAGTGTTAGCTGACATCAGTATTCAGCTAGCTGTACCCAGGGGCGTCGCTAAAGGGGGTGTGAGGTGCGACACCCCCCCCCCCCCTCCACCACCTATCAGGAATTTGACGGTCAATTGCGCTGCCGTCTGGAAAATGAGAAAAGAGGGACGGAAAAATGAAAGGAAAAGGGAAAGAAAAATAAAAAGGGATGGAAAGAAAGGAAAGAGGAAAGAAGAAAAAAAGAGGAAGGAGAGGAAAAACAGGAAAAGAAAAGAAAAGAAAGAAGAGAGAGAAAAGGGGGGAAAAGAGTAGATGAAAGAGAGGGGAGGGAGGGGGTAAGAGCCTGAGAGTGGAAGGGTGTGAGTAAGAGAGAGAGAGAGAGGGGGTTGTTAGTTGGGGTCGTCTCGTCGTGGGAGCAAGAAAGATAGTTGCCCAATAAACAAAATCACGTGAAAATCACGTCAATATCAAGGTATCGACTTGAGGAGATTTACGTTCTTCAAACACCTGACATTTACGTAACTGTGTTAATACGTTTATTGCACTAGGTCACTTAAAATACACGTACACTAAGGGTGCGTTTAATCGATTTTTCGAAGCTAGAATCACAAACGCGCTAATTTCAGCATGTTTAATTGTTCCGTTATTTAATCCATGATTTATAATCTTCGATAACTTTAAGTTTGCTAATGCGTGTTTTCGCGTGTTTTTAGTATTTTTGCAGTTGGAAAAAAGGATGAAATTACACAAGTTTGTGTGCGCTTGCTCTACTCAATAAACATTCAAAAATTGATGAGAAATCATTGATAGGGACAGCGAACATTTGCTGGGATATCATTTTCTGATGGAGGAATTATAAATCCTGATATTTCATGCGCTCTTTTATCTCACCACCTGGTCAACAGTTGCAGATTAGCGCATAACTTTTCGACGGCTTGGAGCAAGGGGTCAAAGGAGAGCAGCTTGATTTCACTCCTTCTCTTTCACCAAACAATTTTAGAAATTAAATTCCTTTTATTGTTTCGCATTATTTATTGGTAATATAACCACACATCCCATTGTTACGCTTTAGAACTAACGCATGCGTTTGAATAAATTACAAGACTTTTCACTCCTTCTCTATCACCTCCCTGCCTTAACCCTAAAAAGACCGAGCTATTTGAGGTCTAAGTACTGCCGGGGGGCATTATGCCCCCCCCCCCCGTAAGATGAAGCGGCCGATCTCCGCGAAAATTTGCACACATGTCAAGTGAAGTGTATAGAATACTATGATAATTTTAATTTTTTGAAAAAATTACTCATTTGCATATTTATGATAATTTATGCAAATAAGGTCATAAAAAAACATTTTAACCCATAAATCATATATTATTTAGATTTAAGCATTCTTTTTCACTACATAAATTCATTTAACAATTCTGAATAATAATGCAACAACAAAATTTGGAAGAGCCAGCTTATTCCTTATGTTATCTCTTGTTTTGATTATTTCTTATGTATTTCATTGTTTTTTTTAACTTATGTATTTTATTGTTTTTGTTGTTTTATTTCATTTCTAACTACAATTCAACTATTTTGACTCACAAAACAACCACCTAAACTTTAAACAAGACCCAATAACCCATGTTTGATCTATTTTTAGGAAAATGACTTTTCAATATGTTTTGTACACAAATCACGAAAATGAGCGATTTCGGGCTGACATGGTAAGACAAAAGGTCACGTGACCTTGTAACCGTAGTTCCGATTTTCAAAAAAAAATTTTAAAAGTTGCGCAAGACTCGAAAGAAAAAAGTCAGCGAGCGGCGGGGCGCCATCCATATGCGTTCCCGAACAATCAGAAAAACCGTGGAGGGGGCCATGATGTCTTCCCCCCCCCCCCGGCCTTATTAGGGTTAAAAGAGGAAGCGCGATGGCTCAGTGGTAGAGTAGTAGTTTCGTGATCGGGAGGTTCCATGTTCGAAACCGGGTCGAAGCGCTATAGTGCCCTTCAGTAAGGCATTAATCCTCCTATACCAAGTCTCTCGAAGAGGACCTATACAACAGCCGATCCTTTGGTTGCTAATAATTACAAGCATACAAATAATGCTTTCTTAAAGGTACTATATCCCTTTTGCAGCCAACCTCAAATTCTGTAGAACTTTGCAGGAATTATGAATATGTCATATATGTCCTATCTGTGAAATTTAAACATTAGCAGTGTCCTAATATTCAAATTATGTAAGGAAACCCGTTCACTTGCTAGACTTCACTGTTAGACACTATTGAGTGAGTGACTGGCTTTTCTTCTTCTTTGGTAATAACATACATAACATGAGCTGTAAAGAGTACATGAGCATTTGTCTACATCAATAACCCACTTCTTGTGATGGCCAAAATTAAACTGATTGAATCTTTGCGCAGCATAAAACGTATGACCATTCGGTACAATGGTCTGAAAATCAATACTATTACTTATTGGCTCTATAGCTCCTAAGTCGATTTGACAACTAATAGTCGTTTTTTTCCCACTTGAAGACATTTTCAAGCCCCACCTTTTTTAGAGAAGTTCTAAATTAGTATTATCTTTCAAATGTCGTAGGAATTTAACCTTTTCATATTTTTGGCCTGCAAATGGGACATAGTACCTTTAACAGGCAATTTAAACATAGAAATAAACAGCGAATTAACAGCATCGCTTTGCCTCGTTCCTCATGATCCGA